CTCAGGCATAAGATTTTGTGGAACAACTAATATTGTCTGTTAGTCCCAGCTTGTTCCTTGTGAGAAGAATTGGTGTAATTTGATAATGGGCATTATGCATACAGATACAAATGGTCTGTGGGGCTTCATTAGAAAAGCATTAGATACCTAATTAATAGTTAAGACCTTTTAAACATGCCTCTTACCAAATTTTCTTTTAATGATTCTTACATAATGAAACTTGTGTGAACATGATTAAATTATTACAGATAAAGTGTGGTAGTTTAGAAATCTCAAACAGTAAGTAGACATGTTGCTGGAACAAATAAAATCACAGGCACATGCAGCCCTCATTGTTTTGACAGGAAAAATCTTTTACATCTTTTTTTTATAAGTCACTTCTTATAACATATATCAAAATAATATCACATATAGTTTTTATAAATTAAATTCTGTGCATTACCAATCACCTCTAAGGTCTTTGTGTCTGTACTTCAACTTTGTCTTTGTTTCTTAGTAAATCCTGGATAAACTGTACCTTGTTTTAAGATTCAGTTTTTCAACCCTGGCTGGTGTGGCTCAGTGGATTGAGTGCCAGCCTGTGAACCAAAGAGTCTCCACTTCGATTCCCAGTCAGGGCACATGCCCGGGCTGTGGGCCGGGTCTCCAGTTAGGGTTGTGCAAGAGGCAACTAGTCATGGATGTTTCTGTCCCTCTCTTTCTCCCTCCCATTCTGTCCTACTAAAAATAAATACATAAAATCTTTTTTAAAAGATTGAATTTTCCAATAAATCCTCATTAATTGCTGATGCTGTACCAAAATTCCCGAATTCATTCTAGTCAAAAGCTTCAGAAGAATATATGTTTATATTCTGAGGAGATGAACTTACAGTGGAGAATGCATATTCATTAAGTATTTCAATTTTTGTGATAGGAAAGTGGAGAAGTTTTGATCTCTACCAAATGAAGGCCACAGAAGCTAAACATGGGCATTGATAATGCAGCCAACTTGATGAATACATTCGTGGAATTAGTCTAATGCACTCTAATGTAGTTATCTATATTGACAAAACCTTAATCATGCTCTTAATGCACAAATCAGAACCCTACTGGACTTATGAAACCAACATCTGAGCTCTTGTACTCAGTGGGATCAGATATGTGATGCATGAAAAGACAATGAAAAGTTGTGCCTGAAACCTCAAGGTTTACATTACCTATCAATTTCCGTATAAATTTAGTCTATGCTTCAGTTTTTAGATGTAACACCAATTGCCTTCCTTAACTCATTAAAATTTAACTTTCATTATAGTAAATTTACCCCAAAGTAACTTGATTTAGGTATAATTTTAACTAACACCCTCCAACAAAGCTTTGTATTATTTTATGAGTACTGATTTCATTTGAATGTTTATATTATGCTATTGTCTGAGCATTAAATAATCTAGGATGTTTCCTGAAAGCAGTTTCTAGGCCAGTATAAGACAGAGTTTTTTAATATAAAAGTGGTGAAATCCTATTTGAGGCATTTTGATATCCTGGGGATAAAAGTGTGGAGGGAAATAGAATAAAAACACATGGAATAAATTAGCTGTTTTAACCTTGGTGGGATTTCCTCAATTTTCATATGGATCTTTAACTCCTCTTTTTTTTCCCCCATAAACCAAGTAAGTCAGACAATAGATACAGACTGCCCTTTCATAGAACTGCTCGGTCTGTGCTAGCAAAGTGATAATTTCCCTGAGTTCATAACCCCCTACTAAGTGCAGTTTGAAATAGCCACATCCATGAATGGGAGACTTAGCTTCTTTGGATCAAAACACATTTAGAGTCATTGAAATATAGTATATTTTACAATTTATAAATGAGAAATGTTTGATTAAGGAAGATCATTGCCATGACATTCTTGACTGTTTAAAAATGACAGACTAGCCGTTAATCATCATGTAGTCAGTCATGGTTGGTTTCATCTCATTTTAGACAGTGCAAAAATCAGTGAGGATTCAAAAGAAGTTAATGAAAAAAATCCACTTATCAAGAAAAAGAAAGAAAATACAGCTTCTTAAATATTTATTCTAAAGTAACTAAGGTAAAACATTTTTTGCTACTTTAGTTCAAAATATTCATCATAGTAGTAATTACCATTTATTCTGGACTAAAATGCTAGACAGTGGAAGACAGTGATGACATTATTACATTTAATCCTCTCAACAATCCTATAAATTGAATAGTATTGCCATTTACAAATGAGGAAAATAAATCTTGAGGAGCTAAATTACTTGCCCAAGAACACCCACAATAAACGGCAGAGAAGGAAATGAAAATCAGATATCTGACTTCCCACAGGTACCCTGGAACCTTGACATACACTGCTCCTACTGCTCTGCTATCCTTCTTCTTCTCTGTTTGCCTCTTTTTCCAGTTGTGGGTCCAGAGAGCCAACAGTGTGGAGGACCTACCCAACATGGTGTTTTCTGCTACTGCTACTGCTTATAGAGTTTACTTCCTTAATAAGAGAGGGCTACAGCAATTCATTCATCTGTATGTAGTAGGAATTATGTTTAAGCACTCTTGATAAAATGTTGAATAACTTATCATCTAAGAAGGAAATAACTGTATTAATTTAAGATTATATAGGTTGTTATTAAGACAATTTTCCTATATGCCTTCCTCTAAGTATCAGTACCAGAATAATCTCTGTATTCAAATATTCAGTCAAAAATCATTTGACTGAAAGAACTTTACTTCATTGTATTTGCATTTCAGTAATCTTTTATTTTGGTTACAAGATAATGTCCAGTCATTTCTAGTCAATATAACATTATGTTAAATAAATTATTTGAAAGAACCAATGAACTCCTTGATGCATTAGTATCTTTCCTAGCCCTGAACTTGGTGGTAGCAATTACCAACTAAATTTGTCAAAGTTATCCACTCAAATCCTTAAAAATAAGAGGGAAAAAAAAAAAGAAAAGACTCAGTTATTACCTGCTCTGATTTATATTCCCGAACTACCCTGAGAGAAAAAAGTACAAGACAAGAGTGGAAACAAAATAAAATGCATACTTCATGTAACCAGTATGGAGAGCTTCAGCATACTTGTAGGTTCTTAGAAATAATGATAAAATTAATGCCTGTCAAAGTATATTATCCAGCTTTTCTAGTTTAGAATGATTTTTCTCATGTGTACGGACCTTCTTTTTCAAAGCAATCCCACATGATGGGCTGTGTTTTTGTCTCCTGAAGATTTGGAGCTTTCGCAATGCATTTGAATGATTGGTTCAGGTGTATTGAACGTGCTTCTGATAGGAACACAATAAGGTATCTTTAAGTACCATCAAATGAGATACCATGGCATAAGCAGTGCACGTCAAAAGTCACAGTATTTGCCTAAGACTGTGGAGAGAAATGTACAGATAAAAAAAATATTTTGCAACTTCTGAAGTTGAATGGTGAAGTTATTATTAAATGGTAGGGTGCAATAATACTTGGAAATTTATTACTCCTTAGATTTGTTAATCAAGTCAGATACTCATATATTCATATTTTTATAACCACTTCTTTTATTTGGCTTACAATCTCAGACTAATTCTCCTACATCTTAAATTACAACTTGTTAAAATGTATAATAGTGGCTGTTTTAATTATCTGCTTAGAATTTTATATGAGAAATATATTTACTTTCTAAATTTCATTTATATTTCATCCAGGGAAGCAAAAAAATACACAACCTTTCAATTACTAGTTTAGATTGGCAGAAATACATAATCAGGAACATGGCATGTTTTATAGGTAGCAATAATTTTTAAAATTGATGAAAAACATTAAGAAATATAGAGAATATACATACTTCAAGTTTCTGGTGTAGATTTATCTTACTTTAACTCTGTAATTAAAACTTCACAATCAACAATGTTGTTTTTGATATTAAAAGTCCAGAAATTTTCTTTTATCTATTTTAATGCAGGATTTTTTTGGTTGTATCTCTGGTTTCACAAATTTAGGTAGTTCTAAATCTGGTTAAATATTTTTGTTATTTCATAATTGTATTATTATTATCATTATTTTGCTGTACTGAACTGTACTTTATTTTAATTTTTATTATTTACTTTTATTGCATTTTTTACATGACCATTCATCCCCCTTACAACCTCCTTCCCCCACAATCACCACACAGTTGTCCATGTCTATGTGTCCTTTTTTCTTTTTACTCAATCCTCCCACCCACTCACCCCACCCTCCAGAGCTATAAGCTTTCTCTCTATGTGTGAGTCCGTCTCTGTTCTGTCTGTTAGTTCAGTTTGTTCATTATTTTCCAATTATGAGTGAAATCATGTGGTATTTGTCTTTCTCTGACTGGCTTATTTCACTTAGCATAATCTTTTCCAGGTCCATCTATGCTGTTGCAAAGGGTAAAATTTAAATAAATTTAATAAAGTATAGGAGAAGGGGGGAGAAGGTACAGAAAATAAGTAGCATAGACAGTAGATAGAAAATAGATGGGGGGAGGGTAAGAATAGTATGGGAAATACAGAATCTAAAGAATTTGAGACATGTGTTCATGAACTAAAGGGGGAAATGGTGGGGGAGGGGTATGCAGGGTGGAGGGGTATGGAGGGGGGGAATAGAACAAATGTAATGGCATAATCAATAAAAACGTTTAAAATTAAAAAAATAAAGTAGCAGGATACAAAATCAATATCTAGAAATCAGTCACATTTTTATATGCTAATAATGATCTGAAAAGGAAATTAAGAAAGCAATCCCATTTATAATTGCTTCAAAAAGACTAAAATACCTAGGAATGAATTTAACCAAGGATATAAAAACCTGTACTCAGAAACTTACAAGACACTGAGGAAAGAAATTGAAGAAGATAGCCCAGTGTGAGAGCCACCACTGAGGACGCAGCAATCTTCCCCTTGAGCCCCCCTCATTTCCCCATGCTCTGCCCTCCTACCCACCTCTCCCCCTGCAGCCTTCTGCAGGCCTTTTCCATCAAGGAAAAGGAATTGTATCCTATGTCTGCTATCCAGAACCTCCACTCTTTCTACCCCTTTGCTGATGCAGGTAAGGGTGATGATCAGTGCTGGCACTTAGGATTGTATCCATATAAGAATTCAACAGAGAAACAGCAGGAAGACCCTTACTACTGTCCGAGGGATTGCTGATAATTATGATAAAAGGAAATTAGTGAAGGCGTTTAAGAAATTTGCCTGCAGTGGTACTGTAATGGAGCATCCAGAGTATAGAGAATTACTTCAGTTACAGGGTGACCCGCACAAGAACATATGCCAGTTGCTGGTAGAGATTGGACTGGCTAAGGGCGGCCAGCTGAAGGTTCATGGTTTTTAAGTTCTTTTTTGGCTCACTGAAGCTTAAGTGAAGATTTCCTTGCAATGAATAGAATTTCTCTTTTGTCCCTTGCCACAAGTTTAAAAACCTTACAGCTTGTGTAATGTAACCATTTGGGGTCTGCTTTTAACTTGGACTAGGGTAACTCCTTCATGCAATAAACTGACAACAGCCATGCTGTCTAGTCTTGAAGTCCCTCATTTAAACGGAGGTCAAGCAGGAGGTGCCTGGCAGTGTCCAGCCTGAAACAGCAATAACGTGATGTTTCAGAGAAGCGCAGAGCCCCAAGATCACAGGTGGCTATGTCTGGCCAGAAGCTCCTTGCCAGAGTTCCCTGCCCTCATAGAATGTCACCATGTGAACAACCCATGGTGAAGCTAAAAGGAGGGGTAAGACAGTAACGGCATGTTACCGCTAGAGGGAGCCTGGGGTAGTCAAAAAATCTCCAACCTATGGGTGGGTGCAAAGTTAGAGTGACCACCTTCCTGCTAAGCCAGGTGATAAAGGATATCTGGCGTACCACCAAGGTCTTTTTAACCAAAAGTATCCCAGCTAATTGATGTCCAAACACCAGAATTTGAGGCCAACGTTCTATCAGAGTTAAACTTTTGACAAGGGGACAAATTTCAAAGTGACCCGTTGGTCATGTAGCTAGCTGTAGTGCTCACACCTTACTAGCAACAGCTGCCCAATGTCATGTGAAGTAATGAACTGATGTTTTTGATTTTTCCCTTCAGTTTTAATGTTATGTAATGTATTTAAACAAAACTTGTTTTCAGAAACAAGAAAAAAAATTGAAAAAGAAAGAAGTAGAAGCATACACCATATTCATGGATAGGAAGAACTGACATCATTAAAATGTCCATACTACCCAAAGCAGTCTATGATTCAGTGCAATTTCTATCAAGATACCAATGGCATACTTTACAGAACTAGAATAAATATTTCAAAAATTTGTGTGGAACCACAAAAGGCCCTGGATAGTGACAATCTTGAGAAAGAAGAATAAAGTTGAAGGAATCAAGTTACCTAATATCAAACTATAAATAAGAACATAGTTATTAAAATAGCATGATGCTGGCATAAAAACAGACACACAGATCAATGTAAGAAAGTAGAAAACCCAGAAATAAACTCACACGTTTATAGTCAATTAATGTTTGGCAGAGGAAGCAAGCATATACAATGGGCTAAAGATATTTCATTCAATAAATGGTGTTTGGAAAATTGGACCAATATATGCAGGAAAATGAAACTAGCCTATCTTCTTATACCACACACAAGAATAAATTCAAAATGGATCAAAGACTTAACTGTTAGACCTGAAACTATAAAAATCCTAGAAGAAAACATAGGCAGTGAAATCTCAGACATTGCTTGTAGCAATATTTTATCTGATATATCTCCTCAGGCAAGGGAAACAAAAAGTTAACAAATGGGAGTACATCAGACTAAAAAGTTTTTGCACAGCAAAGGAAAACATCAACAAAATAAAAAGACAACCACTGAATGGGAGAAACTGTTCTCCAATAAATGTCATAAGGGATTAACATTAAAAATTTATAAAGAACTTATAAAATCAACACCAAAAAACCCAAACAGTCTCATTAAAAAATGGGCAAAGGACCTGAATAGAAACTACTTCAAAGGGAGTAAAAGACAGAAAACTGTACTTGAACAACATGAAAAAAAAGAAAGAGAGAAAGAAAGAAAACAGAGGACATACAGATGGCCAATAGATATATGAAAAAAATGCCCAAGCTCTTTAATCAGAGAAATGCAGATTAAAGCCACAATGAGATAACATCTCACACCTGTCAGAATGGCCATCATCAATAAATCAACAAATAAGTGCTAGGGAGGATGTGAAGAAAAGGGAACCCTTTTGCACTGTTGGTGAAATTGCAACTTAATACAGCCACTGTGGAAAGCAGTATGGAATTTCCTCAATAAATTAAAAATAGAACTGCCTTGTGACCCAGCAATTCTACCTCTGGAAATATATTTGAAGAAACCCAAAACACTAATTTGAAAGAACATAAGCACTCCTACATTCATTGCAGAGCTATTTATAATTGCCCAGTAATGGAAACAGCCCAACATCTATCAGATGAGAGGGTAAAAACTACTATGGGACATTTACCCAGTGGAATGCTGCTCAGCTGTAAAAAGAATAAAATGTAATTGTATTAGTTTATAATTTCTGTTTTTGTAATTTACCACAAACATAGTGGTTTAAAAATAATATGCATCTGTTGTGTCACAATTCAGTCTTAAGAGGTCAAAATTAGGGCATTAGCCAACCTCAGCTTTTATCTAGGGGCTATGGGGCAGATTTTCCTTCCAGGCTCATCCATCGTTAGCAGATTTCAGTTGCATTCAGTGGCAAGACTGTAATCTTCATTTCTTTGTAGGTTGTCAGGTGAAGGAAGCCCTTAACTCCTCAGGTGTCTCTCTTGTCATTGCAGGTGGACTGTACTTGTCAGTAATGGCACACAAAATTTTCTCTTCCTCGGAATCTTTTTGACACTTTTCTGCCACATATCATTTGTTCACAGCTAGAAAAAGGGTTTTTGTTGTCGTTTGTTTTTAAGGGCTCACGTGATTAGCCTAGGCCCATTTGGATAATGTTTATCTTTTATTTTATTTATTTTTTAATTAATTTAAATTATTTTATTGTTGTTCAGTTACAGTTGTCCATGTTTTCTCCCCACCCTTTCCCCCATCCCCCCCCCCAAACCCACCTCCCTTCCTTGCTTCTACCCTCCCCCTTGGTTTTGTTCATGTGTCCTTTACAGTAGTTCCTGAAAACCCTTCTTCCCCCGTCCCCTCCCCCTCGCCTCTGGCTATTGTTAGATTGTTCTTAATTTCAATGTCTCTGGTTATATTTTGTTTGCCTTTTTCTTTTGTTGATTATGTTACAATTTAAGGTGAGATCATATGGTATTTGTCTTTCACCACCTGGCTTATTTCACTCAGCATAATGCTCTCCAATTCCATCCATACTGTAGCAAAGGGTATAGGCTCCTTCTTTCTATCATGTAAATTCAGTGCCTGTAATTTCTTGTGCAAAGTCCCTTTTTCCACATAACATACTGACATTTTCTATGCATAAGGATATGGGTATCCTTGAAGGTTATTAATTTGCCTACCACGATAATGTATTGTTTTGTCTTCCCACAATTTAAAATCCTTGTGATGGGATGGATGAATTAATAGTGTATCAAAACCCCTGTGACAGGGATTTTCCTGTCATATGTACATATTGTAATGTATACATTTCTGGGTCTACATAATATGCATATGACTTGTACATGTTACCATATTATGTTAGAGTCTATGCAGCATAATCTATTTTATGCTACTCTTGAATATCATTTCAATGTTTAAAGAGCAATCAAAATCAGGAATAAAAAACAAATGTCCCAGTAAATTAGCTGAACTGAACAAACTGCTCATGAAAGAAATCTAAATGGAAAATATATGTACAAAAATTTCAACTCTCTGAGAAATCAGAGAAATTGTACCTTAGAAGATGCTTCAATTTTTTGTCTATCAAATTACCAAAACTTTGAATGAATAATACCTCTTATTCATGAGAATAGAAGGAAATAGAATTAGAGGTAGAATCAATTTTTGCGGGCAAAATTTTCAATGTATTTTATAATACAAAAGTCTTCAAATATATTAATTCTGGAAATTTTTGCTATAAAAATATTCAAAGATATATATATATATTTGAATATGAATGTATATATATACATATATGATAAGCAATTGGAAACAGACTTCTTATTATCAAATTTTAAAATATTGTTTAAATAAGCATGGTACATCCTTATGAAGAGCACTTATGAGGCCAATAAAAGTGGTACTGTGTGGGGGTGACTTTTCCCACAAGTCCCCCCATCCACCACGGATGAAAGTAAACACTACCAAGACATGATCTGCTTGGGGCAGAGAGGTGGCTGATCCATTCAAAGGGAAGGGCCTGGAGCCCCCTCCTCCAGGGGCTTTATTGGGCTGTAATACACAGGAATACAGGGTGGCAAGGATCAAACAGTAGATAACATTTCAAAGAAATTTGAGGGCTTAGTCTGAGTCAAAGTCCGTCAGGAAGAGAGTTTTGTGGAAACTTTAGGCTTTCCTGCTCATACCCTTAACATATGAATAAAAGCACTCTTAGCAGAGCAGGTTTCACAGGATTTTCAGGAAGTCTTTATGATGCCAGATTTTACCCCAGGATCCGCTCTGGCCAGGCAAGGAGCTGTACCCCTCCCCATTAGGAATTCAGGCTTAAGTGGATTAGATCCAGGAAGCGCTTCTCCCAGAGGACATGGGGACTCGAGCTATGTCACATAGCCAGGGGATGAGGGGCCATTGCTCCCTCTTTGTTTCAGCCCCCGAGTCCTTTCATCATGGCCTCCCAAGTGATTGTCCCTGGCTTAGGTTGCTCCCCACTGTGAGGAGACTTACCTGTCAACAACATTGACCATGCTTTGGGGGCAAGGAGAGGAAACTGAGGCAGCATTTGCTACCAGAGACAAGCCTTGTCTTCTGTGGCTCGCATTCACTCATCCTTAGCTAAGGGTGGGTGGGGGTAGAGTTACAATTCCTGAAACCAGGCAGAGAGGTCCACAACAATACTGTATTAGAATCTCTAATGAGAAAGAAAACTATACATGAAATATCAAACAGGAAGAGGACGTTTGATAATAGTAGCTTGGTAATTTTGAGAAGGGGGAAAAGTGTAGCTTTCATATATATTCTTCTTACTAGTTTGAGTGAAAGAAGTGTGTCTGTTTCTATCTATAGCTAATGATTACTCTTACACTCTTAACTTGCCACTTTTTACCTTCTCAGGAATTGTTTTCCCTCATTGTTTCCTCTCCCAACATTTCCTCCCATTGTTAGATTAACTGCAATAAAATGTACACATGCATACATACATACACGCATATAGAAAACAAATCAAAGCCTATTCCAAATAATTAATCATC